AGCGGGGCCTGGCGGCCCCGGGGGGAAGGGAGCGCGTCCCTCCTGCCCTGGTGCCCAGCCTGGCGCGCTGAGGAGCCCCGTGGGCAGACACGGCAAACTCTCGTGTGTGTGTGTGTGTGTGTGTGTGTGTGAGACAACCCCGCCCTGCCCCAAAACTCAGCAGGTGAGTCTGATCAGGTGGCAGTTACGTCAACTTTATTATTTTCTTTAATTTCTTAAGGCAGCCCAGTGGGGAGCATCATTATTTGTGTGAGTGTTGCCCGTCTGTCTCCTTCTCCCAGACCGAGCAGGTGAGCCTGACCAGATGGCAAATACAGAGATGCTTCCTGGGGACGGGAGGGTTTCTGTGTGCGTACGTTTGCAGGCCCACTGGGTGACACTCACCATGTGGCAAATACAGCAATGAAGGCTTTGGTGCAAAGGGGCTAATTATGTGTGTGTGTGTGTTTCCCAAGAGACCCTGCAGGTTGGGTCTGCTCACACATGTCGCAGTAACGCAAGACTGGGACGGAAGCTTCGTTGTACATCCTCAACGCGGACAAACCCCAAGCTCTCAGAAGCGAGGCTAGCCATGGGACAAGCACAGTGTTACAAGCATCAAGGCCTAGAATCATGTCTATTTGCACATACAGGCAGACATGGAGGTGAATGCACCCCAAACTAGGTGCATGTTAAAACTGAAACAAGGAGTATGGGTGCGATGCTAAGCAATGGAAATGGTTGGGACTGTGTTTACGAGTACATACATGCTTACGTGTTTGCTTATAGCTAGTAGATCAATGTAACTGCTTCCTAGTGACCAATGATTAGTTAGTGAAACACCCCAAGCTTAAAAATCGAGGCAGGTAAAATTGTATCTTTCTCCAGCTGAAGTTCTGTTCTTTAAACATCAATTTACCTCTTTGTCTTCCTATCTGGTATGCTCCTTTTCTGCTCCAGTTCCACTCCTCTTAACAAGACTCACATGGATAATACCTGCAGGTTCTACATGCTTAGATTTTTCTGTAGGTTCAGTCACTTCCTTTCTCCCTGGCTTTTGTGGCCGTGTTCATTCTTCTTTCATTTCATAGTTCTCTGGTTATTTTTGCAGCATCTACTTTTGTGGTTTCTCTTCCTTTGCTGTTTCCCTTCTTTTTCAGTGGCACTTAGGCCTGTTCCCTTCATCTAACTTCTCTTCACTCTCAGTATCTTACTTTAGTATTATATAAGCTAATTTAATAATACTTTAGCCACATTCCTGTGCCAGTGACTTGAAATACCTGTTCAAAGTGGTGTACCAAGGGGGCTTTGTGATGGGTTGAGAAGATACACCCTTGCACAGAAGAATATTAGAGTGGGGATACTGTTCTTAGCGAGGGCCATCTATATCCAAGCTCTGGAAAATATTTTCTAGACTTTTCCCTCTGCAGTCTTCATAAACTATAGGTGGTCACTAGTGTACTACAAAGGCCGATTTGTCTTACTGCTGACAGTGAACTACAGTAAGTACACACATACCCTCCACATCTCTCCCTTACACTCTTTCTCCAGGCTAGCAGATCACCCAGGGCCTGTGCTCTTCCCTGTTTGATGCTGGACAAATGATCCTGGTACATACCTCTTCAGAATATGCTGCATGTAATCTGATCTTTTTCTTCTGTCCATTCAGATCTCATTGCTGACGGTTTATATTAAATGTTCTTGCACATTCATTGAGAAACATCATAGGCACCAATTCAGACTTAACACAGACAAAAACATTCTCTCCTGGAACCTCTCCATGTATGTGCATTATAGTACCTGTCTGTTTCTATAACCTGATTGTTTCTTTCCCTCTATACTTGTCTAGTCTGTTGTCAACTCTGCCCATCTCTTTCTCTATGAAAAGCTGACCATATCAGTAGCTAGGACAGTTTTTTTGCTCCTGGTCATCCTTTATCCTGCTACAATCCTTTTCTTTTAGGTCCCCTAACAGCCGTGTTCCATCCCAGCCCTCCTTTAAATAAATTTCTCATATTACTTACCTCTTCGTTCCTTTATCTAAACTTTTTTTTTTTTTTTTTTTTTGAGGTCTTAGACAGTTCTGTCCAACTCTGCAGCTCTAGTCTGGTTTCTTATCATGTCCCCATGTCCCCTTATTCCCTTTGTTCTACTTGCTATTCCAGCTTTAGTGTCCATTCATATTTCATTCCGATCTATTAATACTCATATAGCATTTTTCATCTGTAAATTTCTAAGAACTAAGTGCCTGTGGAGAAACCTTCCATATCAGTTCTTCTTTATTCACATTTCTCTGAGAGGCTTACTTCTATGGTGACCACAAATACTAATCGAAAGGCCTTTTGCATCTAACTGCCATTCTGTTAACTCAGATACCTGCAAGAAGGTCTATTGAAATCCAAGACATCTGGGGGAAAGTGCTTTATCCAGTCAAATTAGGCCTTCTGAGTTAATACACTTGAAAAACCTAGAAATGCCACACTCATTTTTTTTTATAATCTGGGTTTAATGCTATATTATAGTCACCTCACCAAGCTGAAATGGTGTTAAATATAGATGATATGCAGTCTTTCTAAAAACAGTAAGATAATTTGACAAGAGAGAACTGGAAAGTTCATATAGAAAGTTCTTTTGAAAACAGAAAACTGAATGTTGTAACTTGAAGAATAAGGGCTGAAGAACAAGGGAAATAGTATTCAGGAGAAGCAGTTGCTCATATTTATTTATGCATTTTTAAAGCACCTGAAAATATGCTGGGGTGCTCATTAGTACAAAGACATCTTTGGTCTCTGCCCTTGCAAAGCTAATAATCT